GTCCCTTTTTGGTCAACCACCCAAGTAGGGCTGTTGTATGGGGATCTGGACGGCCTAATTATACCATTCTTCAGCAGTTCCTGGATTTCTTTGTTAACAAAGTATGCTGCCTCCATAGGATAGGGGTATAGTTTGGAGTAGACGGGTTCGTCACTTATAGTTCGAATAGGATCGATGACCGAGGTGTTAAAGGTAATTACCTCTTTAGAGGTCGAAAACACCTTAATTTTTTTAAAAAATAAAATAAGGAGGTCATTAAGTTCGGCATTGTCACTGTCTTCCTCAATATTGGCAACTTCAGCCTCAGCTGTGGTGCCTCCTCCTGTTGGGGTTGGGCTATATTATTAACGCGATGGCGTCAGTGGCCCGATTGTCGCTGAGACCGAGCTCTGCCTTTTGTAATTTGTACGAATTCAAATGAATTCAGAATGCTGAAATATATTTTTTGCGTGCTGCAAGTACAATGCCAGTGGCAATAGTCGCCGCAATAAGTACAATACCAATTGGGCTGCGGAAAAGTGAATACGTCAAGCGATCTTTTCATACTGATTTTATTGAGCATAACTTGGGGTTTATATACATGTTCTTGGGTCAAAAAGGGTGTTTACATAGGTCTATTCTAGTTTACAATTGTCAGTTACATGGTTTATCCTAATCAAACAATACAATTTAGATAACGATATCGTAGGTAAAATAGTCTCAAATATTCTGCATGCAGATGGTGTGAAAACGTGACCGATCGTGGGTTATCTTTTATGATGGGTCAGAATTGACACACGTGTGGACACAGGCATACGTGGTCCTGTATTGATTTAGGTAGGCCGATATCACTAATGACCCTTGTCTATTTAACCCATAAATATTAATCCAGCTGCGAACAATTTTCTTCTTGGCGAAAATCGTACATAATTGTTATTACTCTGTGGATTTCCCCAGCTTGTTTCCTGCCTGAATTTGGGCGTCAAGGGGTCTACCTCCATGGGTTGAACTTTATTCTGTTTTCATGTTCCCTGCGCTTTTTCCTCATGAGGCTTGCCTTGGCCCTACTTTGTGATAAAGTGCGGATTTTTATCCTCAACTCTTCATTGACCCTTACTGTTGCCCTCATTAAAAGGGGAATTGTCTTCAGTGGATTTTGCATAAGATGCCGCGAACGTTCTTCTTTCAATGCAATTCTCAGTCTCCGGCGCTAGCGCTAGTGCGGACGGAGGGTCTTTGGGTTGTGCTGGCAGCACGAGTGGCTTGAGCCCTGCAATGAATGCATGAAGGGCGTCGGCCCTAACCTTCTGATTCAGGATGGTTGCCGTGTCCGTATTACGTGAGTTTCCTCTCGACCTCGTCATAGTAAGGTTTTTGCCGAACCATTTCCAAATTCTGACGTAGCAGAACGGGACGTTTTGTCCGCGTATGTGCAAAGGCGCTTCTTAAACGCTCTTCCTACGCGGCAAGTGCGCTGCCGACAGCATTTGCGACAATCGCTTCGACCATTTTCGCGATCATCTCTGGTTGGTCTATGCTCCTTACTACAGGGCTGAGTCCTACTTCTTCGCTGCCGTTGCTATCAATTTCTTGCCTTACTTCCCTATACTCCCAGCTCATTGGCAGCTAAAGAGAGCTGAGTAAGTTAACGGCAGATATACTGGACAAATGCGAAGTATTGAACGATTGGGACACAATATTATTTGTTTTGATGGGTCCAATTTTCTGCAATATCGACACAGGCACCGTGGCCAAAACCGCAAAAATAAGAGAAACAGGTCGAGGTGATTTTTTCGCGCTAATATTATAGTGTCACCTAAAACACAAAAATGTTGGTTTCATTTATCCCAAGAACAAATTCAAAGAACAAATTTACGAAACGATCAAGGAGTGAGACGACAGATATTGGTCAATTCGACTATTAATACAGATACACTGGATTACTTCGGTACAAAATTCAATATAAGTACAGGCACAGTGGTTCAACTTGTAAAAAAGAACAAGAAAAAAAGCAAGTGGCAACCTTTGCATGTGTATTAAAACCCACACTAAGCACATAAAATACTTTGTGATTTATTTATTTATTTAAAACTGCTAATCCAAGTGTGCGTAAATTGAGTTACTTGACTTTATTTGTTTGTCACGCACTCAATAAAGTCAAAAATCAGAAATCGAAAACCGAGTTTCTTTTAATATTTAAATAAAATTCCTATTGCTGGACAAAGGAAACTGTATGCACTTGAGGCACTGGTAATTGTGTGTTAAGTTATGTGTAGACCTTTAGCTATCGTTGGCGTTCAGTTACTTACATATTATATTACTTCAGGGGTGGAGTTCCAATATTAATATTGTTACGGTCCTGGTTTTTCGACGGCGCAAGTCCGACTAGCCAGTCCATCTCATGGTGGGGTTCTTCCCAGCCCTCAGTCCGCACAATAGCCCAGCAGATCGGCCATCTCAGTCCGACAACATCATAACAAGACCTAATGTAAACAAAATAAAATGCAAGCAAAAATAAAATGAATGTTACACATTGGACGTTACTGGAAACTTTACTTGCGCTGAACAATTTGGAGTTTAGGTGATAAGATCTGGCATGCATCCTTCGCCAAATCTCCCTTCCGCTGGCTACCGTCAGCCTACTCCAGGGTCAGTCTAATTTACCCCTCCCCATAGACAAACACTTAGCACATCATACTCACGTTACAATTTTATTATTACCTATAAACATTCATTTGCATTTCTTGCATTCAATAACTTCAGTTAATTTATTTTCATTTATTTGCTTCTCCTTGCTACAGCTGCGATGCCAAATTTATACGAAAACACTTCCTTTTAAATTGATTTCATTTTTATTACACGGTTGTTGACCCGCATACGAACATATAAATATTGATTAATTCATAACTATACAATTAAGTTGCTCTACCTATTTGGAGCTCCAACCAGGGCTTTAATATTGAGATCTTTTTATTCGGGATTTGTAAAGTTATTTATATAAGATCTTTATTTTTTTCTACATTCGCATATAGTTGTGTATGTTATTTACTTTAATCGTTATTTTACATCCCAACTGTTGCGAGACCGCCGAAAATTTACATAAGGTTTTGGTTTGTTTATGTAAATGTATAATCTTTTCTTTGTTTCCCCAAATCTTAATTATATCAATTTTTTCCTTTACTTACAGGTACTACTTATAATATTTAGAAATGGTATATATAGAGATATGGTAACAAACAATTGATGATATATGCATGTGGGATAGATAAGTTAAAAGGTGACTAAATATTTCAATACATCAACACATAAATTTAGACTAAGGTGGACGAACGAATTTTATTTCAATTATTCGGGACGAAATTTTATATAATATTAAGAGGGAATTTAATTTAATTTCATTTACTTAAAAACTATTTTTAAGTCTTTCATTAATGCTGCGTTCATAAATTAATATAGGTCCAATCTACATTCTGTAGAGTAATAATTTTTTTATATTCCACAAGAAAAAAATAAAAAAAAAAATCGAGTGCCAGTGTGGTGTATATGATTAAAGGAATAAATCTTTCTGCAGTGGTCCGACCCGGAGCCTTTGGCACGTGGTCCAGTATTGTATAATTTAACTTTATTTATTTATTTATTTCGCCAACGGTGACCCTAACCGGAAAATTTTAGATTTATTTTCCTTTTTTTTTTAATATTAATTTTTTCTCCTTGGAACGGACTTACTTTTTCGTTGACGGTGCTTTCTTTTCCCGGTCCCGGCTGCCGATTTCCCGTTTACGTCGTCCGAACTCGTCCCGTCTTCACTTCCTGAAGATGCATATTATTTTATTCTCGATACTACACTTTAGACTGATGGCCACCCCCATCATCAAACTCACTTTTAATTTTATATTTTATTTTTCACTATAAATTTTCCGGACCACTTGCTGCAGTAAAATTTTTTGGAACTCGTGGTGGCCTCATCTCCTCCAGCCCTATATATACCCTCTGCCTCAGCACCAGCATCACCCGATTTTTTTCCCTGATCCCTTTCTGGGTTTTTCGCCAACGGCAGAAACCTCTTTCATCTGCATCACGTAGCCGCTTGGCTCTCATTCAGCTATCGGGGTGGGTGCAGTTCCTCATGGTTTGTTGTGGGTGGAGATACTTTTGGCCCAGGGGAGGTGTTGGAAACTAAGAGCGGATTAAAGTTCTCTTTCCTGATCGTCCACCAGAGCGCCTCTTACTTTCCACACTTCCCCTCCCTTTCTTGACCCTGCCAAACTTTGAAAAACTGGTCACACTGCCATCTCCTAGGGCGATTTTCCCCTATCGATAGTTTTCAATTGCAACACCACACAAAAATTCTTGAGAATGCCGGCCGAAGCGAATTATTTGTAAACATTGAAAGATTGACTTGCCGTGAAATTGTGCCTATAGTGTTTTTAATAATCAAAACAACAACTTTGCTATCCTGCCTTGCCCCCAATTGCCCCATTTAGCCTTTTTGAGCCCAACGTAGGCCTACACCCAGTAGACTCTTGTTTTGCTACCCAGGTATGTATGTAAGTTACGTGTGTACGTCTACAGCTACATCCACTATTTATATTTACATTTTTAGGTCTTTTGCGTGGAAAATCCCAACAGGCTTCCCCCAGATCCTCCAAATCGTAGGCATTGTTCCCTATAGGGAGACCGACTCGGCATTTCACATATTTTCGAGCAAACTTGGCATTGTACATCTTTCCAAAATTGCTCTGAGTGAAATTGCGTCTGTAGTTTTCTTGGCCAGGCTTGGCATGGAAAACTCGAGCCCGTTTGTTATAGCGCTGGTTGCTGTATTCATATGCCTGATGAAGATTTTTCCGGATGTGATCGCGGATAAGTTGGCGCTTATCTACTGGATCTAGCTTCGTTATTTGATGTTCTGTCAAGGACTGCAGTTTTCTTGCCAGTCGACAATCGACACTTCTATTTCCGGTAAGTATAAGTATATTTGGTGCAATTCCGGACATACTCCCGCACTTGTGTCGTCATAGCCGGCCTGTAGAAATGACGTTTTAGACGATGAAGTGTCTTTTTCATCCCCCCGTGTGCAGCTTTGTGATCCTCGTGCGCGTTCGCTGTAAGTGTAGATGTTATTCCTGTCGGGATCCACAGCTTCCAAATTGAGCCTTCAACTTGGTCGTCAAGATGTTCGAATGCTGTTCTTTTGAAGATTAAAGCCCCATCCACGCGTAAATCAGGCAATGTTGCATCTGATAAATCCAAACTTAACTCCGCTATGCAGCGTGACAGGGTGTCAGCAACCACGTTCTCAGTTTCCTTGCGATGCTCAATTTTAAAGTTAAAACTCTGAAGCCTTAAAGACCACCTTGCCAAACGTCCATTTAGATCCTTGAGGGACATTAGCCATTTTAGGCTTGCGTGGTCCGTGATCACAAAAAACGGCATCAGCTCCACGTAAGGCCTAAACTTTTCAACTACTAACATCGCTCCCAGACATTCTTTTTCAGTGACGGAATACAAAATCTGATGTTTATACTATTAAGCTTGGAAGAGAAGAAAGCTACGGGACGCTCTGAATTTTCGTCGTCCAACTGGAACAATACTGCTCCCACTCCATTGTTTGAGGCGTAGCATTGGATAAAGAATGGACGTTTAAAATCAGCATGGACTAATATTGGCGCTGTAGTTAGCGCCATCTTCAAGTGCTTTATGGCCCAGACAGCCTCCGGAGTCAAGGAAAACTTGCCTCTTGGATGTTTCTTGAGGACGTCGGTTAGCGGTGCTGCAATGGATGCAAAGTTTTTAATGAATCGCCTGTATCACCCTGCTGTACCTAGGAAGCTTCGTATCTCCTTTACGTTCTTCGGATCAGGATTCTTCTGTATGGCCAACACTCTTTCTGGATCCATTTGCAGCTTTCCACCCCAATGATAAACTCAAAGTATTTTAAAGATTTGAAACAAAATTTAGACTTCTTTAGCCCTATCGTTAAATTTGCTCGTATCAGGCATTGTGCTGACAAACGGAGAAATCGCAGATGCGTCTGGAGGCCAGGAGCTATCACCAGAAGATCGTCCAGATAGACAAATACGTTTGATCGTAGTTGTGTTGGAATGACTTGGTCCATCAGTCGACATAATCTTTGGGCAGCATTGCAGAGACCGAAGGGCGTCATCACGAATTGGTAAAGTGGACGTCTGGCTACTGTGAAAGCGGTATACTTCCGGCTTTCCGGTTCCAATTTTATTTGCCAGAACGCAAAATTTAAGATCGACGCTAGATATATAATATGTCTGGTCGATCCTAGACAATATGCCTTCGATACTCGTGAGAGGGTAGGCGTCCTTTATGGTGAGTTGGTTAAGTTTCTGCGCGTCCAAGCAGAATCGGTTTTTATCTGGCTTTCGCACGACCGTTATTCTACTGCTCCACAGACTGTCACTAACCTCTATAACCTCTAGCTCTAGCATTTTGTCTACTTCTTTCCAGACCACTTCCTGCATCGCTGGTGATAGCGGATAACAACGATCCTTAAACGGTACTGCGCCCCCCACCAACTGGATATAGTGCTGTTCTGCTGCAGTCGTTCCTAGCCCAGCTTCTTCGTAAGTCAAAAATTCCTTCTTCACGTTTTCCAACTTCTCAGCTTCATTCTTTTTCAGGTCCCAAGTTCTACCTCCGTTTCTTGTCTTCTATCTTCCGCATAGTGGCTGATCTCGGACATCTTGACTTCAGCTACTTGGGCGTGACTGGATTCGCTGTTTTCGTCGCCTAGAACTGCTGGAGCCAACTCAAAAATCTCCAGATATCAATACCCAAGTACATCGATTGTTCCAGGTACGGGCATATGTAGAAGTGAATGTCTTCTACAATCCCCTTGTATCCAACAGGAAGCTATATTTTTCCAATTATAGATCTGTCTTCGCGACGAACACATATCCTTCCATCTCTACCCCGAGTTCGGCCATCAGTTCCCTACTGTCTTCGCCCAGTAGACTTACAGAGGCTCCTGTATCCAGCAGTCCCGCAATCTTCCGGCCGTTCGGACTGATTCGCCACCTACTTGCGCGTTTGTCGCGCGTGAACGGGTCTTTAGAACCCTGCGGCTGACTCCCCGCATACCTGCAAGCTGTCTGGCGTCGAAAATCCTGTTTCCGACTTCCCTATATCTTTTCATTCTTTCCTCGGCTGGTAGAAACCTTAACTTATTAATACCTAATATATTTTGTTTATTAATAATATGTTGATCATTTACTTCAAGCTTATCATCTACTTCGATTCAGGTTTCTAGCCTAAGCGTTGCTCACCTGATTTCGTCAAGCTTGGTCGGCTTGGGTTGGGTACGTTCAATGGTCCCATTGCCTCGGTAACGGCAATAATCATTTCCATATCGCCGGATTTCCTCTTGCAAAGATCGGCTTATGGACTCCATCATTCCTCCTCGTTGCATCTCCTGAGCCTTGGCTAAGGCCACATTGACAGGCGATGTGATTTCTGATGGCAGGACTTTCGATGCTACTGGCAAATTCCAGCTGTCATCGTCTCCCTCTTGTTGCTCTTTCCGAGGATTCCCTGGCGGAGGAGTCCTGCTTACCTGCTTTGACCTTAAAAAATACTTTCTCATAAGCTTTTTCTAATCTATCTCTACTGAGATGTTTTATTAATATTTATCTTCTGATTATTATAGTTTTGAACCGGCTGCGCATCAACAATTCACAATGACACCTCGAACAAAAATAACTACAATTAAACTACAACAGGGAAGGAAAAACTCAACCCGGAGCCAACTTAACCCCCGGATTTCAGTGCCTTCAATTACCAGCACAAGTTTCTCGGTGAGCGCTGTTGACCATCCCATCTTCCATAGAAAACTAAGAGTCAAGGGCGCTCGCCACTCTATTATCTGTACTTCCCACTTACTTACATCACTGTATGATTTTTCTAGGAGTGACGAACCGCCCTAAGTGCAACGCGTGGCCGACTTTTCTGGTTCCCACGGGCCACTCACAGTCGAATCCCCACATCCTGACCTCATCACGGGTAAGTAAGACAAGTTTTCCCTATTTTGGCTATATCTGACTCCGGCTATTACTGTGCTCTATTTTCCAGGCGCTCGGTGTGTGCTCTAGCACACCAGGCATCGGTATAGTCGCTAACTAGCCGAAGAAATTTTTCCTGCTAGTGCCGAACCACCCTTACCGAGCTCCCATTTCCGTTTGTCAGATAAGTACCAATCTCTTTAAACAAAAAAAATCTAACACTTACTTTAGGGTATCTTTGCTTCCAGATCCCCCCGGCACCGCGTTACTATGAGCCGACCATCAGGTAATGATAATGTTACACATTGGACGTTACTGGAAACCTTACTTGCGCTGAACAAATTGGAGTTTAGGTGATGTACTCCGACACCCCACCCTACCTGAGATCCGGCATGCATCCTTCGCCAAATCTCCCTTCCGCTGGCTACCGTCAGCCTACTCCAGGGTCAGTCTCATTTCCCCCTCCCCATAGACGAACACTTAGCACATCATCCTCACGTTACAAATTTATTATTAACTATAAACATTCATCTTCATTTCTTGCATTATATATCTTCCGTTAATTTATTTGCATTTGTTTGCTTCCCTTTGCTACAGATGCGATGCCAAATTCATACGAAAACACTTCCTTTGAAATTGATTTAAATTTTCATTACACCATTGTTGACCCACATACGAACATATAAATATAGATTTATTCATAATTATACAATTAAATTACCCTACCTATTTGGAGCTCCAACCAGAGGTTTAATCGGGTTATCTCGGGTTTTCTAAACTTATTTACATGAGACTTTTCTTTTTTTTTTACATTCGCATATAGTTGTGTAGGTTATTTACTTTATTCGTTATTTTACATCCCAACTGTTGCGAGACCTCCGCAAATTTACATAAGGTTTTGTTTTGTTAATGTAAATGTATATTATTTTCTTTGTTTCCCTAAATTTGGATTATATCAAATTTTATCTTTTACTTACAATTACTACTTATAATATTTAGAAATGTTATATTTAGAAATATGTTAATAAACAATATATGATATATGCAAATTAAGCTTATCACTAGTAAATTTGTTAAAAAAAATATGTTTTTTATTTTTTGTAACTTGGTGTTAAACCTTTTTATTTAATTTCACAAGTACAATACACTTTATTTTTCACATTCGAATTTCTTACTTCCGAATTGTTTCTTGATCAAAGATGGACTGCCGGCTTAATTCTAAAATCTTATCCAACGAACCTCGGCCAGAAACTTTTCTTTGAGCTTCTAGAACTTTTCCTTTTGTTTAGAATATAAGCTTAGGATGAAATAATGGCAATTTGTTTGGGCTTGGATCGCAATAGTTTAAACTTAGAACGCAATTGATTGGGCTTCGAGTGGAAACTTATGTTTACTTTAAGATTTGTTTGTTAATCTTGGTAGGGAAAGCAAGAGCGGACCCCAAAGCCAAAGGCATGGGCAAAGACAAAGGTAAATGCAAAGGCATAGGCAAAGATTGTTTCAATTGAATTTTTGAAAAAATTGTTTATTAATTCCAAAAGCGGCCCGTTATTATTATTAATTTTTACAAATGGATTGATAATGTTTATACTGTCAAGAGTTAGCTCCGAATTATTTGAAGCAATATATTCGGAAATGTCATAATTTATGAATTTATGCTGAACTATATAGTTAAATATTTTGTTTTCGCTGTTAATGTAGGTGCTGTTATTTATAATAATTGAGTCATTGAACAAAATTAAATATGAACCTTTTAATTGAGTGTTGTCTGCTATATTTGTTCCTGTTATTAAAATGGCACTATCCTGTAAGATATTTGTTTATTAATTTCTCTTATTTTAGAGCAATTGGCTTTTTCGCCGCTTAATAATTTTATAAAACAAATATTTTAAAAACTTAATTTACAATAGTTGTTAAACATTTCTTTCTTAAAATTAGTCATTAGGTAATATTTGTTTTTGCAATTGGCAACTTCATTATTTATTAATAATTTTCCATCGGATTTTGCAATAGCTCTTGTTTTGTAAAAGTCACATTTACCGTTAATCATGGGATATTTTATGTAAACTACAAGTAAATCATTATTTAATAAAATTTTAAAAGTTGATATGTCCATTAGGTCAGATAATACTACAGATTGTTTTTCATGATTGTAAATTTCTTTAATTTCATTCTCGTTTAAAATTTTTGTATTAAAAATTTTTGCTTTTGCTAAGATAATGGTATCTAATAAATTTTGTAAATCAAATGTGAGTGTACCCGCAAACGATGTTTTCGTAAAATTGTTTCCTCGTTGAAAACTACATTTTTTAAACTTTCAGTAAGATATTTTACTTCATTAAATAATTTTGAATTTATTGTGAATTGCTTGTTGTTGTTTTCAATTAGGCTGTCTATTTTGTTCTGAACCGTTATGAAATCATCATGATCAGGAGTACCTGCTATCCATTTCCATAAAGTTCCTATTTCATTAATTCCTTTTTTTTTGTCTTTTTGGCATTATTTCTGATAAAGTTAATTTGATGAGTTCCAAGTCCATTGAAATTTCCCATTCTATGTCTGTTTTTGATGTTTTGGTCAAAGATCTGGTTTCCGTGTTAAGTATTTCTTCATAAAAACTTAAATAGTTATGTGAAATAAATCTGCGTATGAATCGTTCGTCAATACGTCTTTATTGTCCTTAAATAATAAATATTCGTGACTTGTATAGTCAATTATTTCAGAACTGTTTTTGATGTTTTGGTCAAAGATCTGGTTTCCGTGTTAATTATTTCTTCATAAAAACTTAAATTAGTTATGTGTATCTGTGTATGAATCGTAGGTCAATACGTCTTTATTGCCCTTAAATAATAAGTATTCGTGACTTGTAATAAAATATTGTTGTTTATATTAGAATTTAATATTATCTTTATGAATAATCCTATTTCTATTGTTGATTATGATTTTGTTAGGCAAATTTTCCTTCACAACTTGTTTTTTATATCTGGATTTAAATTTGTTTCGTTCCCCATGTTTCTTTTCATAAACAACTTGTCCTACATGATAATCTTTTTCTTTTCTGTTCTCATTATGTGTTTCTAACATTCTAGATTGTGTATTTTTCAAGATAATGGGAATATTATCATGATCAATTTCATTATATAGGATATCAAATTGTTTTTTCGTTTGTTGTGGAATGAATGCTCTGATTATATTTTTGAGCGGCTCTTATAACTATTTTGGAAAAATTAGTTAAATTAAACTCCTCTTTTATGCAGCGAGCTATTTTTGTTAATGTCGAGTGTGCTCTTTCTACTTGCCCGTTTGAAGTACTGTGTCTTGGGTCTGCGTAATGCAAAGTAATTCCACACCTTTATGCAAATGATTTAAATTGGGCCGAGGTAAAACTAGGTTCGTTATCGGTCATAATTTCTTTTGCTTGGGGAAATTGTTGAAGTAGTTCCATTACCAATGTTTAACTTATTTTGAATTTCTTGTACAATAAGGTATTTTGAATACGCGTCTATACAAGTAATAAATGTTAAATTTTGCGCGTAGTATGTATCTATATGTAAATTTTCTCCTTCTTTAGTTGGAATAGGGGCTTCCCCGATTGGAATTTTTATTGGGTGCCTGTTATATTTATTTCATTACAAATCACACAATTTTTGATATATTCTTTCAATTTTTTAAATAAGTTTGGCCAATAATATAACCTATTGATTTGTTTATAATTTTCATCCAGACCCCTATGAGCTCGACTGTGTGTTTTGTCTATAATTATGGCTTTATCTTCATCGTTTTCTATGTCTTAAAGAAAGATTCTCGTAAAAAGAAATGGGTTAGTGAAATTATTTTTTAAGGGTAATTGAATGTGATATAAGTCCTCTAATGTACAATGAATTCCTACTGTAATGTTCGGTGGAATATACTCTTTTAATATAGTTATTAAATGTTCTGGTGTATCATATTCAATTATGTGTCGTGTCCTGCCAAAAACTTCCAGTGACTCATGTATTGTAAACCTCCCCGTTGTTAATACATTTTCAAAACTACTGTCAGCAGAATGCTCTGTGTTTTGATCTGAGTCTGACTGTTCTGTTTGTTCTATATCACTGTTTGTAATGTTATTTATTTGTATTGGAGATAATGCATCGGCTTCAACATTTGTTGTACCGGGTTTATATATTATTTTTGGGGTAAAACTTTCTATGAAAGAACACCATCTTTTTATTTCTATGTTGGGATTTTTGTCCGAAATCGTGAAAGACAAAGATTGATGGTCCGTTTGGATTTCTATACAAACTACTCCGTACAAATAGTTTCTCAAATTTTTAAAGGCCCATACTATAGCTAGCAGTTCCTTTTTGTTTGTGACATAAAGTTGCACGGTTTTATAAAGTGTCTTAGAAATGAAAGTAATTGGTTTTTTTTCCTGTGATAATACCGCCCCGATAGCTACATCTGATGCGTCTGTTGTCAAAGTGAATTTTTTACTATAATCTGGTTGAACTAGTTCAACTTGTGCTATTAGATTCTCTTTTAGTTCGTTAAAAGCTTGTATAGCTGAATCGTCTAATTGTACTAAAACTTTTGTAGGTATTGTTTTAGAAACATTTCCATTTTCCCCTCCTAAATATTTTGTAAGAGGTTTTGCAATTTTTGCATAATTACGGACAAATTTTCGGTAATAGCCAGTTAAGCCTAGAAAACTTCGAAGTTCTCTAATATTTTGTGGTAACGGATACCTTGAAATTGTAGAAATTTTTTCAGGATCTGTTTTGATTACATTAAAAGAAACAATGTAACCAAGAAAGGAGGTTTCTAATTTAAAGAATTTAGATTTTTCGAGAGAAATTTTCATATTTGCTCTTTGTAAAATGCCTATTATTTGAGTTAAATCTGAGAAATGTTGCTCGATTGTGTTTGAAAAAATTATAATATCGTCCATGTAGACGTGGCATGTTTTTCCTACTTGTTCTCTGAGAATATCATCCATTGCTCTCTGGAAAATTCTGGGCGGATCGGTTAACCCGAAAGGCATGCGTAAAAATTCAAATTTTCCGTTGTTAATAGAAAAAGATGTTTTTTCAATATGAGTCTTTCATTAGAATTTGATGGAATCCTGATTCCAAATCAATTGTGGAAAAAAATTTTGCCTTTCCTAAGTTGGCTAATATAACAGATGGGTCTTGCATCGGGTATCTATCCGGTATTGTGTTCTCATTTAATTTTTTGTAGTCTACTACAAGTCTGTGTTTAGGGCTACCGTCTTCATTTTGACCCTTTTTGGGTACCACCTGTACTGGTGAATTGTAAGGACTTCTACTCGGCCTTATAATATTTTCATTTATCATTCTACTGATTTCATTGTTAACGAAATCTGAAACTGATAAAAAATAGGGATATTGTTTACTGTAAATGGCCCTGTCGTTATTTGTATTTATTTCGCCCCGAATATCAGTTCTAAAAGGAATTTGTAGGTTTATTTTAGAGTGTTCCTCTTCAATTATGTCAATTATTCTTTTCTCCAAATCTTCTACTTGATTTGAATTTAACATTTTAATATTATTTATTTTATTTCTTTCGGAATCCTTTTATCCCAAAGTTGTTACTTTTTTATTGACGGATAGTTCGACGTCGGCACGTTGAGGGTTATGTGTTCCCAAACGTTTTAACTTTTTGTTGACGGAAAATTCTTCGTCGGTGTGTTCAGGAATTTTTTTTCCAAAACTATATAATTTTTTGTTGACGGATTTTTCTACGTCGGCGTGTTCAGGATTTCTAGATCCCAAACTATTTGATTTTTCGTTGACGGATAATTCTACGTCGGCGTGTTCAGGACTTCTAGATCCCAAACTATTTGATTTTTTGTTGACGGATAATTCTACGTCGG